GGGTTGGGTACATTTTTCAAAGAATTTGGCACAGCTTATATTTAAGACGGTTTAATTTCTCTACAACTTTGGGCAAACATATCGGCCAATTTGTGGAATTGGCCCTTTTTTTAGATCACTCAAATTATTATAAATAATCAAATTTAGGTCACCAAAACAATATTGAAATGTTACACAATTTATAAAAAATTTATACTATATAAAATACAACATGCATACATACGTACTAGTAATCATGACGCAGATTTTGTGTTCACTATGCCAGCACAAAACTTTTAAAAATAATAGAGGTTTACAATTACATTGGCAAAGAACTCATCAAGTTAAAGATAATAACTCTATTCAAATACCCACTTCTGATTCCACACGTGTATTTTGTAAGCTATGTCCTAAAAAAAGCTACAATACCCAAAAAGGCTTAAATCGTCATGAAACAATAGCTCATTCGCATTATAATACACCACAAGTTGGACTTATTCCACAACCACCAGAAGCAATTATTGAATTTAAATACCTGCTAGTTCATATGATACAAACCAAATTAAAAACTAGTGTACGGGAAGCGGGACGACAATTAGTCACAATTCCATGTCTAGAAAGTCAATTTATTGGTGTATTTAATGGATATATTAACCGATATTCACCAAGCTGTGGATGGTATCGATGTATCTTTACGGGAACTAATGCTTATGAAAAGTTAGGACAAATTTTTGGAGATGAAAAGTGGGGGGTTCGAGAATATGAAAACAACCAACAAACCTGGGTAATTTTAAATGGATCAGAAAATGAAAAAACTAAATATTTAGAAATTCGATGGGAACACAAAGAAATTATAGATGCAGCAAATCATATATCAGGTGCTGGCTATCTTTTTATTCGGTTTAATATCGCTCAATTTTATTTTAAATAAGAATACCCTTTTTTATTTAAATAAATAAGTTCGAACACCCTTTTATTAAATTTTAAAATAAGTAATTCAAATTATAAGTATAAAATCACGAAAAAATTATTAGAACAAGGATCTACGAATCTCTTTATTGGAAAGAATTATGTTTTGATTTAACAGGTCTTATATTTTATATAATTTGCTTATCTAATCAAATCGAGTTACTAGTACTAATTTTTCATGAAAAATAGCTGAAACTCTAATCGATAGAGCAGTTGTGTTAACCTCGTTCCAAAAACCAACAGAGTTTCTTTGTTTAACTCTGAAATTACTACACTTACAACCGGGTAAAGAAATTATTATAGAATTTATTAAAATAGATTCTAACATAATTTTTGACGTGTTTTATGCAGGTATTTAAGAGCTCTTGGAGCATTTTACTTAAGACTTGTTGGAGAACCATTATTAAATGATTATCGAAAGTTGAGAAAACGAACAATAGGTAGATCGAATTCATTATTCGTTTTTATATTTTAAAGAAAAAAACTTTTAATAATGCCAATAATACTAATATTTCTCATTAATTTTTCCGCATTCGCTCTATTCATTTCATTTTCTCAATTCACATAATTAGTCTGTCTACGTTGGTAAGCCTGTAAGAAATATAGCTGCAAAGTTTCTATAATAGGCAGCTGTTCCTCGTATCTTCTTAATTAAAACAACTTGTGCCGCTCCGTGTGAAAAACATCAAATTTTCGGCAATATGGAGTGGGATACTTACACTTTATATTATACTTTAGGTGTACAAAAACTACTACTGAAGAAGAGCCTAGCACTAAGATACCACCCAGATAGAAATCCAAATGCTACCGATCAGGTTCGTACTTTATTAATCCTCTACTGATTAGGACTAAGGTATTAAATCTTACAAGTACCATTGTACTTAGTAAATGTGTTAAAATATTTTATTTTATTTTTTAACTTATTTTATCTTTTATTAAAAAAAAAAATTCAAGGCGCGATTACTCATACTTATGAAATCTTGGGCGATCCAAAAAAAAACATCAAGTGTATGTTAAATATGGAGAGATGGGAATTAACATGTTGGATTCTATAGCTGGTTTCCGGAAATTCAAGGACCATTATGCAATACTTTCAATTCTGATTATTCTTATAATCCTGTTTTTCGTCTTATCAATAAGAATAGATGGTACTATATCATGGAGTTATGGAATTGCATTCGTACCAATATGGATTGAAGATTTTATTTTATTATCACTTCATTCTCTTAATAATGAATTCAAGTCACAGAGAATAATGAACTAGTTGAATCACTCATAGCAAATAATCCACAAAAAATGTCGTGATTGACATGTAAAGTATATGAACACCACGAGTTCTGTCTGAATGCATTACATGTGGTTTATATCTGAACAAAAACCCCCAAAAAAAACACAGTTATAAAAACTTTAAAAATCATTCGACCAATATAGTCTAAAAAGTTTTAAAATAACTTGACTAAATAAAGTTTTTCACCAGCTATGATGATTTTAAAAAAATTCGACTGAAATATAGTATGCGGATCTTAAAAATAACCAGACAAAATATAGTCTTCGCTCTGCTATAAGAATTTAAAAACCAGAGTCTTTACCCACTGTAATAATTTTAAAAACTACCATGAGAATTTTAAAACCATCAGATTAAAATGTTAGTCTTCATTTAACAAAAGTGGAAATTCAGTTTTACCTTTTATGAAATATAGTTCATTCACACGGGTATATATTTTCATATATGCCCGTGGAATAACTTTCAAAAATGCACGGGTTGTTACATAAGACCCGTACGACCCGTACGATAAATATAATTACTGAATTATCGTTGAGCACTATTGTGATCATTTGCAAATTCCCAAAATTAATAGAATTGAGACATCGCTCTATATTCTCTATATTTCGACCTCTACAAAGACCGTAATAAATAAAAAACTATTAAATATTTCTTTTTATTTATTACTTTAATATGGTATTTTGCCAACTAGTAATCTTACAGCGCTATCATCCTTTGATTTATAGTAACTGGCGTAAAAAAAATAATAAACTTTGCACTTACCAAATTATTATTAGTTTATATGATATCATAGAAGTAAATATTTTTTATATAACAAATAAATAATAGTACTGTATATGCGCTTGAAGTAATTATACGCATAAATTTATTAACCTTAAAAATCGACCTTTGCATTATTGCATATCTTTAACGTTGATAGTTGTAATCTTTTCAAAAAAAACAGGTACGTCATGTGAAAAGAAATATAAATTTCTGTTTTCCCATTCCATAATTTCAATGATAGCCGATTTGTTTATATTTTCACCTCCACCATCTTTTAAAGTTTTTCGAAAAAAATGTACAACATGTTGATGATTTTTCTTCTCGACCGCAGAACAGGAAAAGCCAATTAAACCAAAATTTGAATGAAGATTTAGAAACTCTGGAATATGATAGACCAAGGTATGGATATAGGGGGTAATATCATTTGGCCGATAAAGTCCTCTGACAAAGGTTTGTGGATGATTCGGATTGCCTAAATCAAAAAATATAAATAGTTTTGTTATGACAAAAGCTTGTAAAGAATATAATTACCTGAAGATGGAGTTAAAAATAGGTTTATCCATTTGAGTGCTTTTTTTTTAAACTCAATACCATTTATACGCTGCTTATGCATATCTTCATAAAGTTTATTAAAACCATTCCATAATTGTCGAATTAACTGAGCACGACTTTTGTTTAAAAATAATAAATCTAAATTGAAATTTTGTAATACTTTTAGCTTGTCTATTCCTGTTAAAGATGTTGAAGTCCACATTTTTGTGTTTGGATCTTCCGACCACTTAAAATGAACATGAATTTGTAGCATTTCTTGACTAATTATATTACGTATTCTAGAATTTTTAATATCAATCTCTGAAACCAAAAGTAACCATAATCTGTCTGTTATTCGCAACATTACATGAAGTTCATCAACAACCCAGTGTGTTAAAGAAATCATAGGAAACAAGGGTTTATACTTATGTCCAGCTATTTTATAAAAATTAATATTTAGATCTTCTATATGTTTAGATATAGTCCAATCATATTTTTTGATTCCATTTTGTTTTTTTTTAACTAAACACCAAAGGCAAAAATCTTCTGTATTTGCTGCTTTATGTCCCAAACAAATTGCTAAAAATTTCCAGTCAGCTGAAAAATATAAGCATATATTCCATCGATGTCCTTTATTATCTAAATAGCCAGATTTGATTTCATCTAATTCTTGAATTAATGGAGCTAATACAGTTTTTAAAGTTTCATATTTTTCAATACCAGGATATATTAAAAGAGTATAATGTTTTTCGGGATAATAGATAGTATTTAAATCATTAAGCAGTGCAAATGTGATCATTACGTGATTTATTTTTTTTCCAACATTACACCCATCCCCTGAAATTCTTATATGTAAAGTTGGATCTGATAATCGGAGAACTCCTTTTTGAACTAAAGAAGGAATAATATAGGACAAAATATCTTTTAAAGACCTATATGCTGCCTTTCCTATTGATTTTGTAACTTCTTCAACTATTTCAAAATCATCAATATTTATACTTTCATTTATTTCTGAGTTAGTTTGTGAAATATTAGCATCTAAATTAATAGTTTGAATCGGAATTGCTTGTTGCATTTGATTATCAATTTGTTGCTTCATTTTGGAAATTACCCACTCTTTAGGTAAATCTTGTTTAATTTTTGTAATAGCACGATACATATTACGAGAAATATGCTCCTTATCTATTGTACGTACAATGGCTAATACTTTTAGATCCTCATTAGTTTGCTGATTATATATAACTCGAAACTGTTGCTCATTTGCTGAAAATATTACTTCGTTTAGAATTATTTTATCACTTAGATAAGATGTTGATTGTACTTCGTTATAAAATACTTTTGGAAAAGAAGTTGCTACTTTTTTATATCGTTTATATTTCATTGACTTGCTTAAATCTTGAATAGGCTTAACACTTCGAATTGTTTTTTGTGTTTCAATGTTATTGCTGTTTTGAGAAAATCGTGATTGTTTAATTGCCTGAATATAATCATTACTTGTTATATAATCAGGATCTTGGTCAGTAAACTTAATACATCTATGACATATTTTAGCGGTTGAATCAAGTTCTAATATTTTATAAAATTGAACAGGTAAATTAATAAGTGCATCTTTACTTTTTGTTTGTTCTTTTTTTTTGGTACTTTGCTTATATATACTATGCTTTGGATGGGCACAGTATTCGTTTAATTTTGTTTGATGTTTTTGATAATAGTTTTTATTAACAACTTTGTGATTATAATGTGTTTGGCAAAGACACTTTCCTTCTAATTCTTGACATCGTTCTTCAGAAATTGGTGTTGAAAAACTGATTGTTCTTAACTCTCCTTTACATAATAGCTGTTCTTCAGACGTATTAAAATAGCACTGACGCGCTATTATAAAAGTATACCGGTACATGCTGATCATCAAATTGTGCTTTTTTATGTTTGGCGACATGACTACGTACACAATTTTTTTTTCAAAAAAAAATTTTTTTTAATTTTAATAACATAACTTTAATTCGATAATAATAATAGTAAATACCTTTTTTCTTTCAATTCAATTTTGATAACAGTAAGACTATATATTCTACTTATACGGTTACGGCATATTGGGGATCAAAAATATATATGGTATCATATTATCGAATTTTTATCGGTAATAACAATAACGTAATTAATGACTATTAATTTATTAATAACACAATATTTAGATGCAGGGCCTTTACTACTAAAAATTAGAAGCTCAAATTTTGAGTAGACCGATAGAAGACCTCTATAATACAAGTTACAGAGCTAAATTTTATATTTACTTAAAAAAAATTTTTATTGGCAGCTTAAATTTCGTCAAGGTTATCCAAACAATAATATAGATAAATTAAGTTGGAAAAGAAATTTTGTTTCCCATATATAATTTAAAAAACAGTTCTGTAACTTTGTGGTGTTGAAACTTACTACTAAAAAAGAAGAGTGAAATCTGTGCATCTAAAAAAAGGCAAGACGATTTTTTTATATAGTTATATATAAATTCAAAAAAATTCATTGCTTAAATTATTGTGACACCACATCTAGTTTTATTTACTTAGTTGACATACATCCCCAATGGCATATTCCGTCTTTTTTGCCGTAATTGCGTTGAGTTTGTACTGCATTATGTATTTTCCTTCTATTTTTCGCTTAAGGTATAACTGTTACTATAACACTATAATATTATAATGCTATAATTAAGTAACTACGAGACACAGTCACTCCAAACCAGAAACTGACGAATATGTCGTTATATGCCATACAAGCATTTCATTCACCGGTAAGTATAAAAGTTATTTACTTTCTATTTAAAGTGTAAATAAAAATATTTTATGATTAATAAATTCCATTTAATGAACTCGGAAAAGAAGAGTTTGGTGCGAAAGCTGGTAATGAGTTTAATTATGTGGCATTGCTGCATTACGATATTACGACATTACGGCATTGGGGCTTTACGAAGGCGAATCTGATATGAAATTAGATGCGTGCCGTAATTAATTCTACCATTGGTAAAATGCCGTTATTCAGTAATTCTTCCACCAACTTTAATTTTTCTAATTAAAATACCTTATATTTACGCCCGCCGAATCTGTGACTAGGATAAAATTGAAAATCGACGTGTCAAAAAAAGTAAACTTTTACTACTTCATGTTCTAAAGAATTGTTGATATGATAAGTACGATTAAAAGCTATACATTAATACGAGTCGAAATTATTGATTTAGGTTCTGACTCTGGGATTTTTATTAATGGCGAAAAACTTGACTTTCGTGCTTCCTATTCATTAACAAAAGATGACGTAATTTCAATGGGACGTAGCGAATTTCAATACCTTCCTGCTAGAGAATATAAAAACCGCATAGAATTATTCAATTAGATGCTATTGCTTACGATATGTATTTCAACTTGGTTTTATGGATTATAAAATGGTTTCCTGAAAGCCATTTTCTCGAGAGAACACTAAATCAGTCGATATTATAATTAATGCCAGCTCGCCTTTCAAGAAAATGGCTTTCGAGAAATCGTACCATAAACAATTTTATTCTATTATAAAAATGGTTGATAACTTTTAATTTTCACTAAGGTAATACTATAATTATTTCATCAGGAGTTTGGTCTTTAAAACAACGGTATAAGTGGGAATGCCTGCTTTGTAATATATGCTTTAGCGGTATGCCACTTTGTAATATTTGGATTTTTATAATATCGATAAAATAGTTTAGACTGTATTTTGTATTTTTAAATTTTACAACATTTATTCAGATATTGCAATATAATATTTATTTGATATATATTTGAATTCGAGACATAGTAAAGCTATTTGTCTGAATATTATGAATTGCGAAAAGTCTAAATAGTAAAACTCGAGACTTAGTACTATAATACTATGTTACCTACAATTCACCGCGTTGAATATAGGACCTCCTCGTAAATATCCTTTTTAAATAATTTCACGTACTATTCAATTGTAGATTTTAGCATTTTTGAAAAGTATCTAGTACTCGGTACCAATTAAATGGCCAATTGGATTAGAAGTTTTTTATTTACGTACATACGTATTCAACAGATTTGTCTAAAAGCAGGCGCTTTTTTTTTTTTTTTAAAAAAAAAAAAAATTATTAATTATCTTATCTATCTATGAACAATCTTTTAAATACTAACAAAAAATCCCTTACCAGAATTATACTTGTCGTTACTTCCAATTAATGCTTGGCAAAATCGAATAAAACTCGATTTTCAAGTTTTTGATTTCAGACAATCAAAATCCATTTTAATACTGTATTATATAAATGCTGATTGTCCGAAATCAAAAACTCTTGAGTTTTATTCGATTTTGTCGAGCACTACTTCCAATTCTAATAACTAATGTATTTCAAAAG